GTTGACGCTGGTATTGTACACAGGTAAGTTGGGAAACTAGGGATCGAGCCCTGGGATCTACCTCAGCTACCACGAATTGGTGAATACCGTTTCACCTGCTGTATGCCGAGGGATAAACCCTCACATGTATTTAATATTGTAGTCTTACCTCTACTTGGTATTTTCAATAGTGAAATATTCACACACACACACACACACACACACACAGAGAGAGAGAGAGAGAGAGAGAGAGAGAGAGAGAGAGAGAGAGAGAGAGAGAGAGAGAGAGAGAGAGAGAGAGAATATGTGGCGCTTGCAAATAGTGATAAAATCATAAAAAATCATAAGGCGGGCATGGATGTATGAATTTGCTCACTTTTGGTTTGGCTTGTTGTTAAACCACCACTCCCTCCGACAGGAGGAAATTGCGCCTACCGGTAGCTCGAATTTCCGAAACGTCATCCAGACTACCGGTAGGCGAGAGGACTACCGGATCACCCTTTTCCTCAGGCCCTGTCGTCGGGCCCAGCGAATCTTCGTGTATGTTTTTGTTCTTTTTTTTTTTTTTTTCGGAATTTGAAAGAGCAAAAAAAAAACAAAAAGAAAGAAACGGAATGATTTTCGGATCCCTGCCAGGGGCCGCTGTGGTTGCAGCGTCCTCCAGAATAGATGCCAGCGCTACGGCCGGATCCCGCTGGCAAGGACGATTGGAATGACTGTCTGAATCTGGACGTGTCCCGGGCAGAGGTGCAGAAAAGCAGATCAATCACTGCTTTCTGCACCTTGCCACTCAGACGTCCAGATTCAGATAGTTCCTCCAATCATCTTTGCCTGTGGGAAAAGCCCCAAGTGTCAGTATGCCCTAAGACGTTTTTTTTCTGGGGGGGGGCTGACCTTGTATGCATGTGGACGTGGAAACGCGTGGGGGGACTGCATACAAAAAACGCGGCCCATGAAAAGAGGAAAACCGACAAGTCATTCACAAAAAAAAAAAAAACAATATAAAAGACAAAAGAAACAAAAAGAGGAAAACCGACAAGTCATTTACAAAAAAAAAAAACAATATAAAAGAAAAAAGAAACAAATGGAATGTGTTGTGAAAAGTGGCTGCCGCCACTGTTCCCGCCTCACAAAAGCAGGGAAAATCACCTGCGGCCCGACGACGAACACCATATGTCACAGGTTCCAACTTTCCCACGGAACTGGCCATGCTGTTTCACCCACTGGTCGCCGCCCTCCCTAAATAATCACCCAGACTCACAGGAGGGGCTATTTCCTCCTGTCGGAGGGAGTGGTGGTTTAAGTTCCGTTGGTTTGCACTCGACGCTCTTTTGTTTGCAACTTTTCTGTCCTCCCCTGGGAAACATATTCGAGAATTAGTCAAGCTTAGTCAATGTGGTTGCATCAAACTTGGCAACATGCCCAAATGTAAAGGATGCCTTGGCTGCCGAGAAATTATACAAATCCAGAAATCTCCTATTGTCTTCACCTGAATAGAACGCTCAGTCATTATTGCTGTACTTTGGGCGCTTGTTATAGGGCATTCAGTCTAGGGACAGCTATAATGACCTGGGGGTCTTTCGGGCGAAGACGGTAGGCTGATTATGCATTGCGTCATGACCCTCAGTTCAGAATTGCACCTTCTATGTCATAGTGGAAAGACAGAATCCTTTTTAGCTGTGATTCAAAGGCTCTGGTCCTTGTGTTTTGTGTTTTTGCAAAGCAAGTAGAATGGTTTTCGCATGTGTTTTTTTTTGCTAATGATGTTTTCCCCATTGCTTCTTCAGGCGAAGACTCCTAGAACTCCACGGGTGTTTTTCCATGGATTGGGAATTGGTGCAGCACCATATCTGATGTTTCTGGATCAGCTGCTGAATACACAAGATCAGGTGTGAGCAAACTGGCGTTCTCTGCTCTGCTCTTTCTCTTAGGAGTTTCAATACTTTTTCATCCGTTTTTTCAGCTGTCATTTCTTTCTTTCTTCAGAATTTCAGCTCCTCTCTCTTGTTAGTATAGGTCTCACTGCACTACGGAGCAATTGACTCCTATCTGGACTGTATGTAGTAACCCTGTTCAGAAGTAGCCCGGGGCTCAGAACTCAGCCCCAGGCCAAGCAGACCAGAATTGGTCTGCGCTGGGCTGTGTGACCGACACATGCCCAGAACTCAGAAAACTGCACGTGGCTGTGGGACCAAGTGCTAAGATCAGGAAATTCAAGAGTCAAAGTCAACTGTCAAGTCAAAGGTACCACGCCAGGCCCTTGGTTGGATACATCCACTTGTTGTGCGCAGGTACCAAGACATGCATCCAGGCCGAAGAGTATACAGTTTCAGATCGATCCAGACCCTTCTCGGTGTCAAGATCTGGACGGCGGGAGTCTGCAGCAGCCGGGGTCCAGACCCCGAGTCAACGCTACATAAGCGTGGACTCCCTGGCTTTGACATTCATTCTTTCTGTCTTGCGTTGACGCTGCCTCTATGCGTTGACGTCGCGATGCAGGCTTGACGCTGCGACGCTGGTGGACACTGGCATGACGCTGGCATTGGCGAGATTACGGCAACACGCTGCTGGCTGGTGCGCTGACTGGCTGGCTACTGTCTACAGGGCTTGCTGACGTGGCAGCTGCCACATGTTGCTATTGACGTGGCTGCTGCCACGTAGGACTTCGCCGGGTCTATATGACCGGCATTGCTGTTCTATTCCATCATCACTTCAGGGAGAGATCAATGCTGTTTCATCGTCACTTCAGGAGGGGATCAGGACTGTGAGGAGGTTGTGACTACCTACCTGGGATCTTCATGTCGGCATTGCTCCAGCGCTGATCAGAGACTGATTGGGTGCCACGTGGCACATTGTAGATAGGTGTTCATATTACTGGTTATGAGGTGGTGATCAAGGAAGGAGCCCGAAGTAGGAGTGGGCAATGTAATCTCCTCTCCCTTGTCTTTTCTCCCTCCTTGCTCTTCGTCTGTGTATGATTCTCTCACCTCATTTCTTTCTGGATACTATTTGGTTATTGGAAACTATCAGCGACGAGATATTCTGGACTTGCACTATTGATATTCGTATTCATGATCTGGGTTCATTGCAGTTTGGTATCGGAGCTGTTCTCCTGAACACAGTATTGATAGGCGCCAGGTGGCGCACAGGTAAGTGTGTTGCTCACACATATTATCGGTGATGATGTGGCGAGATTACATCTTCGGGGATATCTGACGTGGCACAGATTGATGAGAAGACTGCTCCGGGGATGATGACGTGGAACTGACGTGAAGACTGCATCAGGGTGTTGAAGCAACGAAGACCCTACCTAGTGGCTGACGTGGCGGTAGGGATTGAGATGGGAGATACTTACCTTCAGCCTGTATCGCGATGCTGACATGACAGTTGGATCGCAGAGCTGACGTGGCATATGACGTGCCACGTCCCGGGACCTTGTTGCTATTGCTTTGGTGGCACTTTTGGAGTTGCTGCTTGCGGCAGGGTCCATTATTGATGCTGACGTGGTCTTGAGTGGGCTTGATTGCTGACGTGGCAGACCGCAGGACTTCGCACCTGTCAAGGTGGTGTCTGTTTGTTGACGTGGCACTGAACTCTTGACTCACGGGGCATTGAATATTGGCTGAAACGGCGACGGTGTCTCATATGAAGATTGGAAGCTGACGAGAATCAGGAAACACACTTGTTGAGGTGTCATTCCACTATTGACAGGACAGAGTATGTGCTGACGTGGCAAGACTTGTTGTGTTGGTACTTCGGGGGTGACACGTGGGAGACAGAACTCTGCTAAGTAAGGAAGGGCACTCGGAGGATTACGGCGGTACGGCTGACAGAATATACAGTTGTGGTGCCAGCTATCCGGGAGAGTGCATCATCGCACTACCACTCGACACAGCAAAGTGATCCAGTGTGCTGACGTATTGTTTTGTTGGCATACTCACCTGTTGATCGAAGTGATAAAGTGTGCCGACAAATTGTTTCTGTTTATTGTTGGCATACTTACCTATTGATTGCTTTTTTTTGGTGTGCGTACTTACTGGTGTGTTGAATCTGATCACGGGCCCGGTGTAGAACCTGTAAATAGGACGCCATCACACAGACAAGAAAAAAAAAGAACAGCAGTTAGGGGAAAAAAATCTGTTTCTCTTTATTTCTTTTATTTTCTGAATTCCCATTGTGAATATCTTCTCCAAATTGACCTCCAGAATGTTTGGCTGGTTCAAAGTACTCCTGTTTCTCCTTCCTATGGCTCTGGGTGAAGAAACTTCAGACCCAAAGACTCGGAGACAGGCAGAGCAGAGGAAACAGGAACTGTTAGCATTATGGTCTCAACTGTTAAATGATTTGCGTTTGTCTGGACCGGACGCTGAACAACACGTCCGCAGCTTGTTTGACTTGCAGACGGTAGAGAACCATCTGAATCAAGCAGTTGCGGGCGCGGAGGTTGTTGCGGCCGGAATTGAAGTCACGAACATGATCTGGGTTCATTGCATGTATATGGACCGGATACATCCAGATTGGCGGAACAATTTTAATGTATTGGGACTCCCCCAATATATGTGCGCCAGATACATCTGGATTCTCGATTCTGGAATGTTGTGGAGTGGATAGAGGCTCTATGAGACCCGTATCATTGGATCGTATTTCTTGACACGGTGCTCTCTCGGACTAGGCCCTTAACATCGTAGAATCGCAAATTCAGAGGCCAGATCAAGTCTTCCTTCCAGAAGGACTCGATCTGGCCGCTGATTTTCCAATTCTGTGATTAGAAGGGCCTAGTGTGACTATGCCCTTGGTCCTGCGTTACAGGTTTTTTTTGTTCTTTTTCCTGCACTGTAGGTTGTTTTTGTTCATTTTAGTTTATCATGCCTCAATTGGCTTCAACACCTCGACAAACAAGAACGAGCTTCGGTACCCTATCTCCCCCTCACTACCGTCTTCCCTCGAATAGAATGTACTGTCATAATCGTTGTATGTAGACCATACATGCGGCGCATCACGTGCACGCAAGTTGTGCACGTGCGCCACATATCGCATGTGCACACTTGCATGCGTACGTGATGCGGCCTATTTACAAAATAACTTTAAAAAGAAAAATGAAAAAGGGTAGGCCATGGTAACCAAAAGTGTCTCTCCCTTTTGAAAATTGTAAGTGCACAGAAAAAAAAATATTTTGGGGCCACTTCCTACTGCTCATTGGATCTATTCTCTTTTCCAAAAGGTCCCCTGCAAAGAATCAGCAGGGTTCCCATGCTTTTGGAAGGATGTCCATCGAACTGCTGGCAGACCACGAGCAGGCCAGCAATATATCCTGGATTCGGATTCAGGTCTGTGTTCCTTGAGTTATGGGTTACGGAAGTGCTACAAACACTACAGTAGCTGTCTCGTTTTTTTGTTTTTCCTTTCCTTACGTGCAGTGGCCCCCACTTGTCACAAAAGAAAAACATATGGCTTGTATGGTTCCAGTTTCTAGGAGAAGATTCATTATAGTTTTGCACATTTGGTGAGTAGTGGAGTGAAACCATGAAAATCGCATGCCGAGTTAGTAAGTCAATAACCCATAATTGCCGAAACACGGATCTGAATTTAAACCTACAAGTCCAGTGACTACCCTTATCCTGCCAACGGGCCCCTTGCCAATATTTGGCAGGGACCTTTTGAAGTACCGACAGGGGTTGTCTGAATAATTTGAAGGGCTCTTTGCTCCCTCTCTCTCTCTCTCTCTCTCTCTAAAATATTTACATGATCGGAACAAGCATACACGAGAAAAAACACTCAAAAACGAAAAAGCAATCTACAGATATAATGACGTAAGAATGTCGCCTACATTTCTCAAACATGCGAATCAGATAGAAAACCAAGAGAGTGGGAAACAAACCGATCAACAAGGAAGAAGAAACGAACTCACCTGAAAAAGAAAACATCCACGACCGTAATGAATGAACCAAGACACGATAACAAACAAAGACAAAAGTACGAGTCAGTACACGGACTGTGAGATTATAAGCGTAGACTAGACTGATACGAGAAGACAGTACGGTGAAGGACGCACGACAATCATTAGATATGATGGGAGCGTCTCCTGATTGAAGCATACGGGAAATCGACGGCGACAAGGACGACAAAAGTTGGACTAGGGGAGATCCAGAGGAGCGATGATGAGTACGCTGTAAGGATAGGGAAAGTGGTGGTGAAGTAAGGGGACCAAAAGGTATATATACCGTGGATAGTGGCTGAAAAGATTACCTGAGCAGTGAGGTAGAAGGGTAATCGCGACTTGGTCGCACGCCATGGACATTACGTGTATGCTGCGATAGTAAAACCTCGCACGTTTTGTCTGAATTTGCAAGTGTTTCTCTCTCTCTCACTCTCTCTCTCTCTCTCTCCAGCGTGTATACACACATCACAGTTGCTTTTTTTTCTTGCCTAATTTTCTTTTGCTTTTTTGTTTTCGTGCATTTTCGATCAGCGCACCGCACTGCGCAGTGCACTGCATCTATGCGCTGCAAGTATGATGTAGACTGGAAGTTGCCCCAGATATGGCTATAATTGCGAGGATTTCCTCTGCAGGCCTAAGGGGCCCCTGTTGCAGATGTGCCCGCCCTAAGTGAAGGCGGGCCTGACGAATCCCGAGAGGCCCTCGGCTGTCAATTTCGTATTTGGGGTCTAGGCAGTTGTGACGCGCCAGTTGGTTGAGGGAAACATAGGCCGAGCAGCAAAGACATTCCACGACCCTCTAGGCCTTTCAGAAATGCAGCCCCTGGGCAAGAATCGCAGCCTCACACACAGACAGTTGGGAGGCCCAACCGAACGGAGGCCCAACAGCTGCATCTGAGGCACAGCCTCCTGGGGCCTACCGGAAGCTTCTGGGCAGAGGCTCAGGCCAGCC